TAGTTAGTTAGTTAGTTAGTTAGTTAGTTAGTTAGTTAGTTAGTTAGTTAGTAGGGGAGGGGGGAATACAGCGAATCGGATGCAACTACAAGCATACCAGGCGGGGACTCCAAAGTAGATAAACTGGGTTTAAACCTTTGGTTCATTCAAGCTTGGATCAGACCCGCTGGGGGGGCTTTGGCGTGTTTCAAAAGCTGGGAAGAGGCACCCCACTTTCAGGGCGGCTTTCACGGGCGTCTTTTTGGGGGGGACACTCCTCGCCCCCCTCTTCCCCCCCCCCATCCCCACGGTGCATGAAAGCAAGCCTCAAGTTCCCCGGCTGGGCAAGGTAAGAGAGTGAAGCTTGCAGACGTTTCATAACCCAACTAGGGAACATCATCAGTGCTAGAAGGGAGAGGGGGAAGAGGAGGCGGAGGAGGAGGAGAGGGAGGAGAGAACTGGGGGGTCCTCTCCTTGCAGAGAGTGAAGCTTTTCCTCCCCTTCGGCGCCAGGTAGACTGTTCCTGCCGCTGGAGGCTCCGCGTGGGGGAGGAGGGGGCAAAAGGAGGGAGGATCGTTCTACGCCAGGAGCTGAGTTGCGGGCAGAGGGTGCATGAAAGCAAGCCTCAAGTTCCCCGGCTGGGCAAGGTAAGAGAGTGAAGCTTGCAGACGTTTCATAACCCAACTAGGGAACATCATCAGTGCTAGAAGGGAGAGGGGGAAGAGGAGGCGGAGGAGGAGGAGAGGGAGGAGAGAACTGGGGGGTCCTCTCCTTGCAGAGAGTGAAGATTTTCCTGCCCTTCGGCGCCAGGTAGACTGTTCCTGCCGCTGGAGGCTCCGCATGGGGGAGGAGGGGGCAAAAGGAGGGAGGATCGTTCTACGGCGGGAGCTGAGTTGCGGGCAGAGGGTGCATGAAAGCAAACACCCCCCCCCCAAGTTCCCCAGGGCCAGGTAGATTGCTCCTGCCTCTGGGGGCTCCGCATCGGGGGAGAGAGTTGCGGGGCAGAGGGTCCCTGAAAGCAACCCCCCAAATTCCCCGGCTGGGCAGAGTAAGCCTCTCCCTGCCCTCCCGGCGCCAGGTAGACTGCTCCTGCCGCTGGAGGCTCCTCATCGGGGGAGAGACGTGCGGGAGGAGGCACGATCTCGGGCAGCAGCCGAGTTGCAGAGCCTCGTGGGGGAGGGAGGGAGGGAGCCACAAACTACAACTCCCAGAGTCCTTTTCCTTCCTCCCCTCCCCTTGTCCTCCCCCCCCCGCTTCTTTCGCACCTGAAGAGCAGCCCCGCCTGCAGCGTCGCGGAGCCTCCCTTCCCCCTTCCCGATGCCTCCCCCGCCTCTCGGGCCCGCCAGCGCCCCCGGGCCCAACTGGGGAGGGTCCCGCTGCAGCCCCGCCTGCAGCCGCCTCCTCCTCCTTCTCCTCCGCCGCCTCTCCCGAGCCAGCTCGGGCTGCGGCTCCTGCTCCTGCCGGGCGTAAACAAGCCGGAGCCCCGCGCACCTGCGGCCGCCAACAGCGGCGCCCCGAGCCAGGTGAGTGGCCGTCACCGCAGAGCGGCAGGTGGGCGGCCGGGCGGGTCTGGAGGGGTCTGCTCTGCCTGGGAAGTTGGCAGCCGGGGCCGGAGGGGCTGGGACGGGCTGGGGGGCTGCGGGGAGTCGGGGGTCCCGGCTGTGGGACGGAGGGGGGGGGAGGCGCCCCTTGGAAAGTTGCTCCGCTTCCCAAAGTCAACCGGGAGCCCCGCTTTTCCTCCTCCGCCAGGGTCTGGAAAGGGTCCCCTGCGCACACAGATACATACATATACACACACAGATACATACACGCACATATAGACACGGACACACAATCACAAAGTGTCCGTGTGTGTGTGTGAGA